GAGTACTTTGTTTGTGTTTGTGAGGTCTTTTTCATTAATATTTGTGCAAACACTTTGAGTGAGCAAAGGAAAATATGAAAAATCGTTGCCAAATCTACTTGTTTTTGTTGTCTAGGGACTTTTATTTATTGTGAACTCAGTGAACACCACATAATGCATTAATGGATTGCATTTTTTGCAGGAACGTGACAATGGAAATTAATATTTCAGGTAGCATGTAAATATGTATGAACGCTTCGAAAGACCGAAGCACCTGCAGAAAGCTATACAAAAATACATTTAGGAAAAAAACACAAGAATATACTTTAACTTTGGCTGCACCGAAGGACTTCCCAGGTGCATTTCGTTTAGCATAGGGTATAAAAAGTTCTTTATTTTGAATTTTATCAGACAGTTTGTATGACAGCTATATACCAAAGTGGTCCGATCTGAACAATTTCCTCATAGATTGTTGAGTTGCTTTGGACAGTAATTCATGGTGAATTTCGAGAAAAAATATCATCAAACAAAAATGTTTTCCATACAAAAACTTGATTTTGATCGCTCAGTTTGTATGACAGCTATATACCAAAGTGGTCCGATCTGAACAATTTCCACGGAGATTGTTGAGTTGCTTTGGACAATAATACATGCCAAATTTCGAGAAAAATATATTGTCAAACAAAAAAGTTTTCCATAAAAAATTTGATTTTGAACGTTCAGTTTGTATGACAACTATACGCTATAGCGGTACCATATCGGTGGTTTTGACAGATGAGCAGTATATTGGAGAGAAAAGCACGTTTGTAAATTTCAGATCGATATCTCAGAAGCTAAGAGACTAGTTAGCGCATATACAAAAAGACGGACATGCTTTAATAGACTCAGCTTGTTACGCCGACCCGGCTTTTCTTTATAAGTGTGTTACAGATTTCATGGGAGACCATGTTTAGGGTATAATGGTAATGATAAAATACCGAGTATACATTTTTGTTCGATTTTTTTAATGAATTTTTCTTCGACCTTCCTTCAGAAACGGATCATATAAATCACTTAAAATCTTAACCGGATAGTAAAACGGTAAGTAAAACTATAATATATTTTCAAAACTTACAAAATATAACAAAATCAAATATTAAATACTTATAAACTATGTTTGTTCTTCTTTGGTTTGACCCTTTTCCTTGTATTTATGCATTTTTAAATCCATTTCCAACCAGGATTTTACAAATTTTTCGTATTCACGTTTGCTACGACAAACAATAACTAAGCTTGTGGGACGGCAACCATACGATTTAAGTTCTTCTATACGTTGCTTAGTTGTTTCTAAACCGTGACATAGGATCCGTGGTACATTCGCGATTTCATGTCGTGTGAAGCCCGCTTCATTCAGCAAATAATCCAGAACTTCTTTTATCTGAAAAATGAAAATGGTCAGGTACTGAATATCTGTGAATAATTGATTGATTACCTTTGTTACGCGCACACGCATAACAGCTGGATGTCTTTCCATTATGCATCTCATAGTTTCGACATCGAATTCCAAACGTTCTGCTACATATTCGACTACATTCTTTTTGTCACCCAACACAGCTAATTCGTCCAAAGTAAGCTTAAAGGATCTGTTATTCGTTTGAATAACAAATCGAGCAAAATTATTTTCAACCGAAAGGAACACCGTTTAAGCATATTTCCACTTACCTTTGCAATATAGGTTCGGGACAACGTACCATCCATGGCATAATCTTATCCTTTTTAGCACGTTTTGCTCGCTCCAACCGCAATTCCACAGATTTTGGTGTGTAACGAAAAGCCCAAAGATCTTTCAAAATATTTATTGGTGACACATTGTAGTTTATCATATGCTTAAGATTCTGCTCTAACATATCAAAAGGCATTTCCAAAATAAACAAACGTTTTGATAAATATTTTGTCACTAACTTAGGGTCTGTTTTCAGTAGTTCGCTGATGTAATAAACACGATTTCCTTGTGGTATAACTTTGGATTCCGAATTCATAACTGATACCAACTTACGTAAACGCGGTAAGGTCAAATGCAGAAAGGGCACAAAGTGGTTAATATCACGTACCGGAAGTGTACGTATAATCGTTAATTTGTCTTGCAAACGCACTAAGAAGAAATTTCATTAAATTATTTAAAACAAATATATAAGCCTTTTTTAGTGTCATACCTTTGTCGATCGTTAATATCCATGGATAGCTTAAGAAGCTTTCTTTTGTTACACCTTCAAGACAAAGCAACTCTAATGCCCGTACGAGGGAACGTTTGAGATAAGTTTTTTTGACCACTTCATCTTTCATAATACGTTCGACATCGTTATCCGTTAGCCGATAGCGCGTTCGTAGCGCTTCAACAAGGATATAACGTCGCGGTTTCTCGTGCTCTAAGCAATATTCTACAATATAATCACGTTCATTTCCTTGTGGAGAATCCAACTGACTTGGGTCAAGGGTAAATGACGAATCAGTGGTGTTGTTTATTTCTACAGAAGATTCCCAATTGTCATGAAGGCGCGTAACACGACCCAGCGATAAATGGTTAGCGGGATATACTACGAATTTACGATAAACACAGTGAAATGTAGTGTTAGTGATATGCGCAGATCTCGGTGTTTGAAGCATTAAAATACGTTGAAAATTTCTCAGCACTTGGCTACACATATTTTCGCGAATTTCACAAACTTTTAAATAAAATTAAACAATAATCACTTTTGGAAAAACGTTTCCACCGAAAGAAATTTGCACAGCTGTAAATCAGCTGTTGAATTTTAGCATTGCCAACTACATTTCGTGTGGTGTACTGAAGCAGATGATCTTTTTAATTATCTAATTTTATTAATTAGTTGTGAAAATGAAAGATATAACTGTTATTTTAAAGAAAAAAATTGCTGTTTTTTGCTTTTACATTTTGTTTAATTGTAATTCTTTCTTGCACAAATTTTATTTTTTGCATTTTGTAGGTATTCGATAAAAAAATAAAAATATCGATGGTTTGGAGTACTATTATAAAGTTGAGTTTTGATTCAAATCAAATTGCATGTGATTATTGTTTTTGTTTTCATGTACAGCTGCTTAACTGTTCCAATTAACTATTACCGCGTTTTTCAACAAAAATAACACTATTCTGTAAAATAACTTAAAACTGAATAATATTTCTTTAATTATAATTATTATTCCTTTGATTGATAATATATTCTAAAATGGGTTATGATATGTGTTCCAACCGCTGTTGCAATGTTTGCCTTCTAATCGAATTGGACAAACAAGTAAGGGGAGCCTTGCCCTCCAAGAAACCACTAACAACAAGGTTACAGAAATGCAGTGGCTGCCAACTGGTACTGTATTGTAGTCAACAACATCAACGTCTTGATTGGCCGCTTCACCGTGAATTCTGCCGAGGTATTAGGAAAATTATGAATACCTATAACATAAAACACCCGTTCCTATTAAGTGGCCAACCTCACAATATATTTACGATGGAACGAGCTATACTGCAAGTAAAATACTTACTGAAAACACTACTAAAACGAAAACTGGAATTCCATGAAGAAGAGCTAACTTCTTTCCCTGCACATTGTGAAGTTTGTTACAGTTTTGAAGGTCTGCGCAGTTGTAATCGCTGTTTTGGTACTTCCTATTGTTCCTCCCAACATGCCGCCGAAGACCTTGAACGTCATAAAAAACGTTGCAATCAACTTCAAATATATTACTGTCCATATAAAGTGCAACCACGTATTTATCCCGACAATCTTTTGGGAGAATTGCGTAAACGTGTGCCTGATTTATTGAAAACCGATATAACTGGCGCTATTGAATGCGTATTTTCAAAAAAGTTACCTGCAAAGCCAACTGCCTCAATGGAAAACTACCAAACCTTCGCTGCTGTAGGAGACTTTAGTTGTATTGGCACCATTTTGTTCGCACTCCAATTCATTGATGTGGATACGGTGAATGCCAAAAAATTTGTAATTTTTATTTTGGGCGCTACTGTGGAACAAGACTTTTGGTTTCTTCAAATACATACAAAGTGGTTTTTCCTACAATATCCAAACTTTACCAGATTGGAACTATATTTTATTGGTCCTGATGTTTTGGGCGCAGCTAAACGTGAATGCACTTTTAATTATAAGGTCAGAATAGTTTTTTTTTTTTGCTAATACTACAGCATTAATATTTATACTACTGTAACCGATTTCAAACACATTCCTACAGGGTGCCGACCGTACTGTATTATATGTGAGCCATCGCATGCTTTTCCAAGATTTTGCCAAAAATAACTCTATTAAGCCATCAATAATTTGTATCTTCAATTGTGGTTTTTCTGAACATGCTCCTGAGACCATTGAAGAACAAAAAGAACAAAGTCTCCTAGGTGTGCCAGGTGATTCCTGTGCAAGTAAGGATACATGGTCCGGTGGCATTTTACAATTGATAAAAAGCCATAATACACCAATTATATTTACCTCATTAACACGCGTGGAAGCAGATTTGGATTTTAGTGCTGTGAAACGTGTAGCTTTAAGAAATGGCATAGAGATGCGCATAGAACGGATATTTGATGTAAAGGTGAATCCTTATCGCGATATCCGTCCATTACGTAACTGGCAGCGAGAAAATGACGATGACATATTCTATCGAAATGGATATGTGCAAGGCTTTATAACGCATCTCATGGAGTAGGACTCTACTGCAACTGATGTGCATTAAGTATGCATAACTCGTGCGATTTTGTAAGAATTTTATTTTATCTAAACCTATGCCTGTAACGCATTTATAATATACACAACATACTCTGTTAAGCATGCATAAATATTTTTATATTAGCTGTTAAGTAAAAATTTAGAGTAAAAGACTGCGAATTTAATTATACATTAAGCACATTGTAGTAATATATATACGAACTACCGGATGTAAGTTTTATGACGATTCCTTCAATAATATATTTTGTGTTTATTTAATATATATGTTTGCGCAAGGAGCTAAATATATAAATGTTACAGTTAATTTTTAGTATTAAATTTTGCTTAACACAAAATCTTTATATTTGAAATTTCTATTGATTGGGCTTAATGGTAATTATAAACGTATCGTTTAGGACATTTAAATTTCACACGTTAATCTCTTTAAGTGTGCGCCGCACCCACTGGCCTCCTTCCTTTGCCAAGGTAGCAACAAAACGCACAGTGCCCTGATAACCAGCTGGTATCCAAGAAAAGTCAACACTCTTGAGCGGGCCCTCCTCTTGAGTTTCCGCATGCAAGATCGTGTCCTGTACAAATAAAAATTAGAAATATATATAATAATATTTTATTCATGAGTTGGCACTCACATCCAAATTCTTGCAAGCCATAGTTTTCGAATTATGTTCATCGATAATTTGAAATCTGCCCACTGGTGCACCACTGGGATCTTGTGCTTGTATCGCAAAGCCTGAAAAGCCGCCATTGCCACCGCTTAAACGCAGCTGGAATTTCTCCTCATTTGCATTGCTATTGTCTTCGGCTTTGGGCAATGTTTGCGGCGGTGGCGCTTGATGTTGTTCGATACTTCCGTAATGACAAAAGTCCGCTGGTAGAACTGTTGAAGCGTAAAGGACTGTTGGTATTGTTAGGCAAAATACGATCAAAAGCACGCGAAACATTTTTTGCAACTTTTAATTTTGTGGTATTAAGAAATTTTATGAAAATAAAAAAAATTTTGTTAACCAAAATTAATTCTTTTTTTTTTTAATTTACTATAGATAAAAAGTTAATGACTTTTTGAACGTGTCAAAATTGAATAATTTTTTTTATTTTGTTTTGAAGTGGACTGCGTTACATTTATAGTGCCAATAAAGTATTTTCTGGAAACTAAAATAATTTGCAAGTGTGATTGATAACAAAATATTATTTTGTAGTTTGATATTATGCAGTTTCTTAGTTAAATGGACTCCTAAACAGCAATAACCTAATGGAACTGGATGGATATGGTTAATGAAGATAAAAACCCAAAGAGTCAAAATTGGAGATTTCAACCGATGGATGGATGAGTAGATACAAAGGCGGAAATTGTTGAAGGTGCCTTTAGAAGAGCACAAGTAACTCCCATTATTTTATAGTTGATGTTTATTTTATCTCAAAGAAAATTTGTAAATACAGAAATATACATATATGTGCTAAGACTTGGGAGTTGCTATATAAACCAGTGCGTTTTCACGACAGTCGGATCTAAAGAACGGGTTCGAACAGAAACTGTTAACTACGTGACAACAACAAACTAGTTGGGCATTGAACAGAAGTACTTACGGATCCAAACAGATTTAGGTCCCCGAAAGATCACCCCTTAGTCGGGTCAATTCAGGTAGCGTTGAACCCCGCTGTGAGGGTAAATAAGTCACAGAGTTCTATCGGACCTAAAATCGTGACAATAATAGTCCGATATAACAGCAGATTCATTATTATTTCAATCTCTAATCAATCTTTCCTCAAAATAATAATAAGATACAAAAGTCCTTCTATCACACAAAAATACTTTACAGTTTATTTCACATCTTCAAATTCTACAAATGCTGTTTTAGATTTTATATAAATTTGTAAAAACGAATATTTTTCTCATCAAAACAAAATAAAAGCAAGTTAAAAATTTAAACTTCGACCTCTTTGAGCACCTTGCGGATCCAATAGGTGCCACCGTCTTGAGCAACAGTAGCTACAAATTTCACTTTGCCCTTATAACCTGCTGGATCCCAGTCGAAAGCGACGCTCTTAATGGGACTATCATGTGGAATCTTCTTGTGGGTAAGGGTGTCCTGAAAAGGTAAAAACGAAGTTTAATTAAATGTTTAACGCAACAAAATTTGTTATATTTTTTTTATTTTGGCACTCACATCAGCACCGCCGCAAGTCAACGTTTGGGATTTGGTGCCCTCGACCACTTTGAATTTACCCACTGGCTTATCATTGGCATCACGTGCCTGCACCGCGAAGCCTAAGAAACCATTCGAACCGCCGAGCGTGAGTGAAACTTTGCCATTCTGTGCCTTACTGTCACCCGAGAAGCTATATGGCACCGGCGAGCTTTGGCCATCGACACCGTGTTCGGGCGTCAAACCATTAGAGCAGATGTTGGTGGGCGCACCGGCTGAGTAGCTGTAGGCAGGCGCGGCCAAGCAGGCGGTAAGCAGCAGCAAGCGGAACATATTGACGGGTGTTAAGCTGTGGGAAAAACAACGAGCTAACGAGTTACATAGATTGTAATTTATGTAAATAAATTGCTTATAAATAAAAAATAGGTTTTGTATGTCATTAGAAGTTATTTAATGTTTTGCAATAAATTTATTCTGCTAATAGTTGCCAGTTTACTTCTTTTTATCCCTTTTATGTAGATTTGTATTGTATGCACATATATACATATGTATGCGTGTGTGTTTCGTTAATATTTATTTTCTGTTGTTTAACTATGGTCCGCCAGCACCCATCGCACATGGCAGACGTCAATTAGCGCCCGTAATAAAGGTGATCATATTTTATGAAAAAAATAACAACATTAAAATGTAAAAAAAAAAAAACATTATGATATGCAAATCTATGCATCACGTTTAACATAAAAACATTTTCCATGCAAAACCATAAAGTAAATGTCAATGCAAACATAGTCACACATACTTATCTTGTTTATATGCTTGCATATTTCGTAAAATGTCAGTATGTAGTAAAAAAACAGTGTCCCTATAGAAAATTTGTAACAAAATGACAGTTAACTGCCAACAAATTTGAATTGTACAAATTTACTCCCCTGAGCAAGGAAGGAAGCTTTGAGAAAACAGTTGGTAAATTCAGCATAAATGAGGTAACATTCTCAAATGAATTAGAGCTGGTCTATTTCCATTGGTTTTCGGGAAAGACAAAAGAACAGCTGGTACGACGAGGAGTGCCGTATCGCAGCCCAGAGAAAACACACTGCATAACTTGCAACGTAATGATTGTCCACAATATGCGCAGTATGGGATATATACCGAGAGTTGAAGAGGGAAGCGACACGCATTTGCAGACAAAAAAGAGAGGCCAAAGATCGTGACTATGAAAAGTTTGACAAACTGGCCGACAAGGATTTTACTTGAATTCTAAGATACGGCGACTAACAGAAAATTTAAAGACCGGAGAATACTCTTGTTGAATAACCAGAGGGAATCTAGTGAGCGATGCCCAGAGTAGACTGAAATTATGGAGGGAACACTTCTCCAGCCTGCTGAATGGCAGTGAAAGCATAACACCATTAGTTCATAAACTTGATTCCTCAATCAATGAGGATGGAGCAGACGTTCCATTGCTCTATTAAATATGAAGACAGCGGCGAAGAACTGATAAGGAGCATGCATCAGCTTCTTTGTAGAATATGGTCGGAGGAAAGCATGCCCAACGATTGGAATTTAAGTGGGCTCTGTCCAATCCACAAAAAGGGAGGCCTCACAATCTGAGCCAACTACCGTGGGATTAACCTCTTAAACATGTGGTTTTAGACCCCGAAAATCTACAAATGACTCTGAAAGGAGGACCGACACGCACCACCTCTTCGTCGATTTTAAAGCCGACTTCGACGGCACGAAAAAGAACCGCCTCTTTGCCGCTATATCTGAACTTGCTATTCACGCCAAGATGATGGCGGAAGATGGTCCTTTGCGCATTGGTAACGGCTAATAACGCATTCGATGTTACGACGAGCTGTAAGAGGTATATTCGACGACATTGACATAGCGAATTCAATTCAGGGAATTAAGAGACAGCGGCTATGCTGGCTAGGTCATGTCATCCGAATGGAGGAAAGCTCTCCAGCTCTGAGAGTATCGCCGGGAGATGCAGATGAAGTGGAAGACGTCCATTCCGCTGGAAGGACCAGGTGGAGAAGGTGAATATGAAATATTTATGTACGTAACATTTGTACCGTAGCCATTTCCTTTTGGGTAGCTGGTGTATGTGAATACTAATACTTGGTTGTTTTAGGTAGTGGTCAAGAAGACCTTGGCTCAGTATAAAAATATTAATATATAATATATGAATACAAAACCAGTTAAACCGTTACGTGGATGGTTTTCCCATTTTTATTTTATTAATTTTTATTATTTTTTTTTTTTTGTAGCACGATATTCTAAATTTTGAAAGCAGCAAAAAATGGCAAAAATCATTTTTACGTTTTAAAATCTAATGTTGAAATTTAAAATCATTTTTTTTTTTAAATATATGTATATATAGTTTAGAAATTTCGCAAAAAAATATTACCAAATTCATAACAAGAGTTCGAAACGCTTAAAAAATACAAATTTCATTTTAATGTATAATGTGTTATGTTGTATGTTATACTGATTATATTAAGTCTATTTTTATTTTATATAAAACCGCAAACATCAGCATTTTTGAAGACAAATTAAGCTTTTTAATGTCGATTCAAGCAAAATTTTTAATCTTTTTTACTTTTTCTTTTTATTTGTTGTTTATCACAATTTACATGCATCTGGTTTTTATTCGTTTTTTCGTATTTTTTGGGTTTACTTCATTTATTTCTCTATTTGATTAAAATTTTAATTTTTAACCAGTTGCGTAACAAATGGCATTAACAGCAGTTTTGGTGACAAAACCGGTTAAAGATTTGAGTAGCAATTTTTATTTCAATTACTTCTCCTGTTAATTACCGTTGTATATAAATCGCATGCGCTTTTTATGTGTCTGTATATATGTGGATTTGTATCTATTTTATTGAAATCAGCCTGTGGTAATAGCGAAGTGACATAAATGTTTAAGCCGTGTTCACTTAAATGCCGATAATTGCTAGAAATTGTTGCTGTGATTTCTTAAATTGTAACTGGCGAACAGACATTTGATTCAATTTGTAGAAGTGGTGTCATAAATTTTATATTGTTTTTTAATGTTCTGTGATTGCTGTAATTAAATTTTCATTTAAAAGTCGTGCAATAACGACAACGCTAATATTCTGAGTAATTTATACGATGCAATGAGGAAGAAATTACACCGGTTTCTAAAAGTAATAATAATAATGTTGTAGACTTTGCCTTAATGAGCTGTAATGACTTTCACTTTTACAGTTGTTGTAATGACAAACTATTTTTTTCCACTTTTACTGTTGTTTTAATGGCGGCTAATGTTGGCAAGCGCGCGTTAGGCGTAAATAAGTTCTAAATTATCGGTTTTATTAATAAAGGGTGCCTCAAAACACGTCGTAAAAAATATTTTAAAAATTAAGCAATTTGTTTGAACCTTTTGAACAAACTCGAAGAAGTTCACCTGAAAATCTAAAATTCTTTTCAAAAAGATTATTTTGCAGAAAAAATTAAATAAAAAAATTAATTAAGTGTAATTAAAAAATTAAAAACTGGAAGTAGTTCTGTTCTAATGCTGTTTTTAAATTACTTTATTTCTTATTATTTATTACATTTAGTTTGATA